GGGGTATGTAAAATAAAATTTAAAATTTTTCTAAAAAATTTTTTTTTTTTTTTTTTTGGGGAATTTTTTTTGGGGTTTTGGAAGGATTAAATTGTATTTCCATTATTTCTTATGGGAAATATTGTTTTGGGTTTTTTCAGACTTTTCGAATTTGGGAACAACCCCGGGAAACAGATTAAGTTTGTTTTTTGAGGTTCCACTGTACTTGTAGTGCCCTGGTTGCCTTCAAGGGGGAAAAAGGGAAACACATCCCAAAAAATTGGAAAAAAAAAAAAAAAAAAAAAAACTATCAGCGGGCTGTGGTTTGTACATTGGTTTTGCGTTGTGGCTAGCAGCAACGCCTGGTATCAAGGCCCTGATCCACTAAGGCCCCAGTCAAAAAACCCAAACTCCCGAAAGGCCCCCAGGTAGACCTCCAAGGAAGGGGTTTCTATTTGGCAGTAAAATTGTCAATAAATAAACATGAAAAAAAAATAACAAACCAAGGGCATTTGAAACAAAAAAGAAACACAAACTTCTGGGTTTTCACCCTTTTTCACAAAAAATAAAAAATTTTTTTTTTCCCTTAAACCAATACCTGACAAGGGAAAAAGATGATTGCTGGGTTTTTATGAATGAAAAAAAGTTTGGAAAGTCCTGGCCTAAACGAAAAAAAAGGTGAAGGGGGGAGGAGGGTTTCCCGTGGGGGGGAAAAAAATGGGATTAAATTTTGGAGTATCTGGGGAGAGGGTTGAGCAAGGAAGGGGTAGCAGAATAAGTTAAATGATCAGTTATGGAAGGGGAAAAAAGAATAGAATGTTTTAAATTCAAGAATTTTGTGGATTAAAGTAAAAGGTTTTGGATGCGAGAAGTGGGTCATAATAAGGTGTATGCACCTGGGAAGAGAGGAATGCAGAGGAAGAGAGAGATTTTGGGGGGTTTTTAAGTGAATGTATAGGAAACCTTTAACCCCAAGTGAGAAAAGTAAAATTTTGGTGGGGGCTTGGGAAACTAAAGTGGGGGAAAATTTTTGAGGGGTGTGGTAGGTAAGTTTTGGGGGGGTGAGGTTGGGAAAAGTTAAAGGGAAACCCTTTGATTGAAACTTTGTAAAAGAAAGGGGTTTTGTTTTAGGTAATAAATATTTTTAAAAAAAAGAGGTTTTAATTTAATTTTTACAAAATATGATGTAGGGCGGAAATAAAAAGTAGTTTGTTGGGGTTTTGTATTGGGAGAAAAAAAAGACTGTTGATAGGGCTTCGGAAAGTAAATTTTTTATAGAGGGGCCACAGATATATCAGATCCCCTTTCTAGTTGTGCTAAATGAGAGTAAAAGGTAGATGGGATACAAGGAGAAAAGAAGCATCAGGGAAAAAGAGGGTGAAGGGTTTTTTAAAAATAAAAGAGGAGGGGAGTTAGGGTAAGATATAAACAGCTATTGGAGGATAGAGGGGGTAATGAGAGATAGGCAATTGGGGGCGAAGAGGTATGGGGTAGGTTTAAAAAAATTGTGTTAGAGTGTTCAGCAGAAGTTTGTGGTTACAGGAAAGTGGGTGCAGGAGGGAAGAGGAGCGATTGGTGGAATGATGATGTAAAGAGAGTAGTAAGGGAGAAAAAGTTAGCATATGAGAAGTTTTTACAAAGTAGAAGTGATGCAAGGAGGGAAGAGTATATGGAGAAAAAGAGAGAAGTTAAGAGAGTGGTGATAGCAATGTAAAAAGAGAGCAAATGAGAGAGTGGGTGAGATGTTATCAACAAATTTTGTTGAAAATAAGAAAAAGTTTTGGAGTGAGATTAACAAGTTAAGAAAGCCTAGAGAACAAATGGATTTGTCAGTTAAAAATAGGAGAGGAGAGTTATTAAATGGAGAGTTAGAGGTATTGGGAAGATGGAGGGAATATTTGAGGAATTGTTAAATGTTGATGAAGATAGGGAAGCTGTGATTTCGTGTATAGGGCAAGGAGGAATAACATCTTGTAGGAGTGAGGAAGAGCCAGTTGTGAGTGTGGGGAAGTTCGTGAGGCAGTAGGTAAATGAAAGGGGGTAAGGCAGCCGGGATTGATGGGATAAAGATAGAAATGTTAAAAGCAGGTGGGGATATAGTTTTGGAGTGGTTGGTGCAATTATTTAATAAATGTATGGAAGAGGGTAAGGTACCTAGGGATTGGCAGAGAGCATGCATAGTTCCTTTGTATAAAGGCAAAAGGGGACAAAGAGAGTGCAAAAATTATAGGGGGATAAGTCTGTTGAGTGTACCTGGTAAAGTGTATGGTAGAGTTATAATTGAAAGAATTAAGAGTAAGACGGAGAATAGGATAGCAGATGAAAACAAGGAGGCTTTAGGAAAGGTAGGGGGTGTTGTGGACCAGGTGTTTACAGTGAAACATATAAGTGAACAGTATTTAGATAAGGCTAAAGAGGTCTTTGTGGCATTTATGGATTTGGAAAAGGCGTATGACAGGGTGGATAGGGGGGCAATGTGGCAGATGTTGCAAGTGTATGGTGTAGGAGGTAGGTTACTGAAAGCAGTGAAGAGTTTTTACGAGGATAGTGAGGCTCAAGTTAGAGTATGTAGGAAAGAGGGAAATTTTTTCCCAGTAAAAGTAGGCCTTAGACAAGGATGTGTGATGTCACCGTGGTTGTTTAATATATTTATAGATGGGGTTGTAAGAGAAGTAAATGCGAGGGTCTTGGCAAGAGGCGTGGAGTTAAAAGATAAGAATCACACACAAAGTGGGAGTTGTCACAGCTGCTCTTTGCTGATGACACTGTGCTCTTGGGAGATTCTGAAGAGAAGTTGCAGAGATTGGTGGATGAATTTGGTAGGGTGTGCAAAAGAAGAAATTAAAGGTGAATACAGGAAAGAGTAAGGTTATGAGGATAACAAAAGAATTAGGTGATGAAAGATTGAATATCAGATTGGAGGGAGAGAGTATGGAGGAGGTGAACGTATTCAGATATTTGGGAGTGGACGTGTCAGCGGATGGGTCTATGAAAGATGAGGTGAATCATAGAATTGATGAGGAAAAAGAGTGGAGTGGTGCACTTAGGAGTCTGTGGAGAAAAAGAACTTTGTCCTTGGAGGCAAAGGGGGGAATGTAGGAGAGTTAGTTTTCCCAACGCTTTTATAGGGGTGTGAAGCGTGGGTGATGAAAGTTGCAGCGAGGAGAAGGCTGGGGCGGGGGGATTTTGTTTTTTGGGGCAATGTGTGGTGTGAATATAATGCAGAGAATTCGTAGTTTGGAAAATTAGGAGGAGGGGCGGGATTAACCCAAAAATGTTTTTCCAAGGCTGAGGGGGGGGTTGTTTAGGTGGTTGGGGCATGTAGAGGGGAATGGGCGAAAAGAGAACCCTTTAAGGTTTTATCGTCTGTAGTGGAAGGAAGGGGGGGGTTAAAGGGGGCGGCCTTGGGGAAAGGGGTTGGGGGGGGGGGGTTAAAAAGGGGGTTTTGTGGCGGGGGCTTCGACTTCCAGCAGGATTTTGGGGAGCGTGTTTGTTTGGAGTGAATGGAGACAAATGGTTTTTAAAATTGGGCGTGCTGTTGGAGTGTGAGCAAAGTTAAAATTTTGAAGGGATTCAGGGAAAAACCCGGCCCCGGCCCGGGTTGAGGGCCTGGGAAAATGGGAATTTCAGTGCCTGCACTCTGAAGGAGGGGGTTTTTTAATGTTGCGGGTTTTAAAAAAAGGGAGTGTTTTTAAAACACCCTTCTGGAAAACAGTGAGGAGTGAATGATGGTGAAAGTTTTTCTTTTTCGGGCCACCCTGCCTTGGTGGGAATCGGCCAGTGTGAAAATAAAATAAAATAAAATAAATCCAATACATTGCAGGAAAAGTTTCAGATATTGTAGGCATACTCTCAAAAGTCCGATACTATGTATGTACTCCTTTGTTTACCATGTCTAGTATATGGTGTCTGTATGGGGATCAACATTATTACCCTAACCTTATAACTGTGTTCAGTGTACTAGTATGCAAGTGATGACTATCTGGCATACTAGTACTTTGATAGTGTTTGTAGGTTCGAATCCAGCTGAGAACTGAGAGAAAATGTTTAAATAATTTCATTCATTTGTGGATTGTTAAGCATATATACATTAAGCCTTCAATGTCATTGATAGGTTCTTGGAAACTGTGACTTTAAGCAAAATGATACATCATGAACACTACAGGAACAAATGTACTTCCTCCTCCTCCAAGTGCCAGGCTGTGATCAATGTGTGTGTCTGTTGGCACACACAGCTACAGCCTGGTTGACCATCCAAGCACCAGACAATCCTAGCATGGAGCTTGGCTGTGGGAGTAGGAAAACTTTTGAAACTCTTTAAAGGTATATCTTGGTCAATGAGGCCCATCTTTATCATTTTTTTTACTGCCCAGTTTATAATACTGTACAGTTACAGTAATGAGTTACTTTTTTCATGCTACCTTGTATTGTACATTGCTGTTGACAGATGATTCCTACATGATTCATGTAATCCTGACTAAAGAATTCTGCTTTTGAAATATGAAAAACTGATTTTTGTGATATGAACCATGGCTCGTGCACCTCTTGCTGATCATTTTCAAGGTTGGTAATGAGTGGTGTCATACTGAATATTCTGGGTCAGATTGTATTGCCACATGACTCACAAATAATTGAGATGTGTTAATGCCTGTTATTCATTCATGGTTCATTGAGTCCCAGATGGAAAGTAGCATTTTATGCTTCAAAATGTAGTACTAAATAAGTAAATATTGTATGTTCTGTAATCTTCTAAATATTTTCTGAATTGGAGGAAATTCTGAATTCAGTTTTAGAAATTTTTTATATTATAATTAAGAATTTTTCTGAATAAAAAGGAATGCTTAAGTGAAATTTAATTTAAATGGTTTGAAATCACATTTTTCCCAGCAAGATAAAATTTCTAATAAAAAATCAGGTAATGTGTCTAATAGAATTTTTTTCAACTTATTTTTGAAACATTAGTTATTCAGTGCAATATAAACTGAAAATAATATCTATTTTAATTTAGGCATTTTTCTCAGCAACAGGCATTGCAACGTGCCGAGGGCAGTGAAGGAGAGAGTAATCACGATCACGCTGCCTCTGAATCTGATGCTGAAAATCATTCCATTAGTGAGTAAACAGTTTGATGACTACACTATTTTTATATAGGTGAAAGAACTTGATATTTATAATAATTTTGTTTATAATTCATAGCCTTATTTTTAATTATAATTTAATTTGAGAGGGAATAAGAGGTTGTTGAGTGTATGGTAAGGGAGAGAGTGCTGAAAGTGGGACATCCTAGTGCCTGCAGTCTGAAGGAGGAGTGGGCATCTTGCAGTTTGGAGGGTCATTTTAATTATGATATCTTCACACTTTTGGCAAAACAGATATTGAATGAATGATAGTGAATGTGTGTGGGTGTATGTATGTATATGTATATGTGGAAATTAGGAGAAGGTGTGGAGTTAATAAAAGCATTAGTCAGAGGGCAGAAGAGGGTTGTTAGGTGGTTT